GTCGTAAAGATATAGACCCCACTTTATGAAAATCAATGGCCGGCGCATGTGGAATTTCTTAGAGCTTTAGATCACACCGTCTCAACCACAAACCTTTGCTGTAATAATATAATTACTTAGATATTCGTGCTATCTTTGGACATTTTCAATTCAGTTACCATTTCTGCCACCACAGGGAACTGAACTCTTAGGCGTGTTTTGCAGCTGCAAGTTACGAAAATTCTTCTGTTACTTTTGCCATTTCTTTTTTACCATCTTTCCGCCTGTCTCTCTATCGCATGCAACAACTCTAGAAACGCCGAGTCGATTTTCATGATATGTGATATTTGGGGATTTATCGTACACCAACAGCTGTCAAATTTCTTTTAATTTTCCTTAAAATCGGACATCTAAAATGCAGTTTGCATGAAGATAAGCACACTCCTAATCGCAGCAAAGCAACCATGTGGGGAGGGGGGGGGTAGCTTTAGCTAAAAAGGCTGCCAATACGCTACTCACGCAAAAGTCAATGGTTTTTAACACCTCTGTCGCTTTTGATGGCATTTGCAAACATTAAAGGTCGTGTCTTGACACAGCTTTGTATAACTACTGAGCTTCTGAAACCGTTCATTAAATAAACCTCAAATAAACAAATAATAAAAACAGTGTTTTTCATATTTTAGAAGCTCTAATTCGTATCACTCATGTTCAGTTAAAGATTTAAAAGTATAATAATATTCTATTGTACAAAAGTTCTATTCTCGTTGAGATAGTTATATTAAGATAGTTATTGCACAATGAAGCAATATGTAAACTAATAGTAACACAGTTTAGTATACGTAATATAACAGAGGGTAACATGTGTGAGAATGTATGTTGGATGTAAACTGTGTAGAGAATTAATTTTAGTTAAGAAGCTGTTCAATTTAATAATGCGTAGATTTTAAAAGATTTGAAGTTATATAGAATCAAGTATAGCGCTTATTAGATTATGCTTAATTTTAAGAATGTGTAAATTGCAAATGTCATTCCCCGGTATTGAAGAATACACAAAGGTTAGCTCACCTTTCTGTAAGGGGAATCGAAAAAACAATAAGCGGAAATATGGACTTAGCCATGGTGAGCACTCAGCAATAACTTGGTATTGGGGAACAAAAAAAGTTTCAGGACAGAACAGGGAGACTGATCGGGGTCAGAAGCGCCTAAGGCGTCAAGAAGATAAGAGACAGATGGACATTGATCGTGCTAATGACTGCAGGTAAGCGCTGAAGTGATAACTCTGATACAAGTACGGGTACTTCAGTAAATCATTCCAAATTTGCGTAACACAGTTTTGTCAATTACAAAGCGAACTAGCTTGAATTAGAAATCTAGGTACACAATAAGAATGCAAATTATAAGTGTAGTATCTAATCGTAGAAAATAAATGGTGTAGCTTTTGGAAACAATCTATAGCATCCTGGAAGGAATTCCATAACAGCCGCCACACACGTTTAAACTGACAAGATAATATTATCTTGCCTTCTCCATTCTACGCCACGCTACCAACACTGGTAGTACCCACCTTAATGGTTTACAAAAATTGCAATAGATAAACCATTACAACAGTATGGAGTAAACACGCGTGAGGAGTTTAATTTTAATTTCAATTTTAATGTTAAAATATCAAAGGGTTAGTAATATTATGACACTGATTAAGCCTAAATATAAAACACAAAGCCTGGTACACAAAAATTAAGGCCGTTGGTGGCAAGAAATAGTGAAAATATACACTGAGGCTGCCTGAAGAAGAAAATACTCCCTTGCAATAGGATAAGAGCGATTGTGATAAAGTTTGAATGCAAGTCGTTGTGATAATAATTATTTATATTATTAGCCTAGTTTATCACCCATGAAATTTTACAAAAATTCGTGTCAAAACTAAATAGAATTTCTTCACTTTACGGTGGCAGAATGCAGGTTTCTGTCAAAACTAACAAGAAGCCTGACTCGAGACTCCCGTCAAATTTAAACTTAGCCAGAATCCAAAGCTTCGTTAGCATTTCTCAAACACACGCCGCTGTGGGAACTTAATTTCAACTTATTCCTCATCCCTACGAACGTTCAGTCAAGGGTGACAGATACTGGCTGTTATATTTGGAGTAGCTTTTTAACTCACAGCTTTATTTGTCCTTTTCAGGCTTTCCTGTGTAAAACATCTGAGAGAGGGTTTTAAAAATTTGGAAATTTTGAACCAGGTGGTGCACCTAGAAATTCTAAACACCATGAAGCAGAAAATATTTAATTTAAGAGAAGTGAATAATAAGAAAGCATAATTTGAAAGTATTATCAGTCTGCATGTTTCACATCTGAAACTACTCGATATTTGACCTTCCATTACGATGAATGATTTTTCAGTTTGGGAGATATCTAAGGAAATATGAGCTAATACCTTGTGCAATACATAATCTGTAGCGCCATTACATTATTAGCAATAAATATGCTGTTGCAATAAATGTATATGAAGGCCAGGGAGGTGAGCGTATGTTAACCGAAATTGGAGTACAATTTTCATTCCCATTTAGTTCGTCCCCTGGTATAGCCCGTCTGTATTTTTAAACACTTTGCGTGCTATAACCTGTGACGTCTGGCCTTCTGTGACGATTCCTCCGTGGGAATCAGATACAAGGCTGCTCCGTTTCCCCTTCTACCTCGTTGTCGGTTAAACCGATAATTGTCGATCTGTCAGCCGAATTCTTCCGATTGCAGACAAATGAATATCGTGGTGCAACATGGTGCCGGCATGGAAGATAGTTATTTTAGTGAGGTGAATTGTTTCTTATAACAGTGTGATTTGTTGTGAAAATGTTGAAACAAAAATGCGAAAAAGTGCAAAATTCTTTTTTGTGCAAAATGTGTGATTTCAAACATTGCTACTCGAAGTGAAACCAGTGCAATATGAAGTTCATGCAGTAGCAACCTGTTGGCTTCTTCCTGTTTGAACCAGTCACATAACGCTGAATCTGCTTGTGCACAAGGTAAGAACAAAGGATGTATCAGTCGTTCTCAGTTTAATGCTCACCGAAGTGTTTCATGCGTCCCACGTACATTCATGTGTAATAAACCTTTTGTATCATTTTATATGATGAAAATTACCAGCTGTTTACCTCAAATAAAAAAAAAATAAGTCAAGGACGCATCCTACTGATGAACACTTAGTGGGTTCATGTGAATTGCCACAAGAAAACCTAACGTTGTAATGTTGCTTAAACAAGAGCAGTGTAAAAAATTTCTTACCTCATTAATGACTTATTTCGTTAAAGATAATTAATTGAGGAATATGTGAGTCTGCAGAGGTGAAAATAATTTAGTACCATTTCCTTAATAACTTAATCTTGTTGCTCATCAGTTGGTAAAACAGGGTGAACATGACACCAGGTCTAGAGAATGTTGAAAACTTTTGGTGTAAACAAGTGGGGCAGATGTTGGTGCAAATATCACTGTTGCTGTTACTGAAATTTCTTTCCTATCAAAATAAGTGTTGCTCTTTCGAAGGGGAGGGGAGATTCTGTTTTTAAAAACAATGTCATAATTCCTACACAGAGCCACTCATATATGATGTTTTACATGTTTTAAAAGATATTTACTTGAAAACTGCCAATGAATGTGTTGTAAAAGGAGTTAAATTTGTCAACAGCACCTGGAATTAAAAAAACACATTTACATCTCTCATTATGAATGCAGTCCTGAATTGGTTGATGGTCTGTTCATTTATTAATCTGTTCCTCACTTCAGTGACTCAAAATAACTGTCCACCTATTCTCAGTTCTATAGAATATTTGGCCATCATGATTCAACACTTTAAACACAATGGTAATTTTGTATATTATCCTTTAACATTCAAAACTCTTTTATTTTGACCTCTGTCTATTTATGGGTTTTGTATCATTATTGGAATAAATTGCTATTATTTCCCTTAACAGCATCAACCAATTAATTTTTGTAATGGAGGGGCATTTTAATCATTTGCTGCTGTGATAAGATGTATTATTTATGATAACATGGTTAGTATTAAGCCTAATAACTTTAAATAAAAACCAAATTACAGGCAGGCAAGAAAATTTGATTTGGGTGTGTTAGAATTTACTATGTTCGATACAGCAACTTCAAAAGTAATTTTGATTTATTATTTTTAATTGAAGATGTCGGGCCTTTCCCTCTTCCTGCAAAGGCCTGATAGACCCGATACATGTGACAAAGGAGAAGGCACATGAAAGTCCACGACCCCATTCTTTCCATCTTGACGTAAACGTGGAGCAAAACTTTAATTTTTACTGAATGTGAACGTTTATTTAGTAAGGCACAATTCCATTAAAACGGCTGGTGTTTAAATTCACTGTCTGCATTCATAATAGGCTTCAAGACTGCCAAATATTAAGTTTGTGTTTTATGTGACCGATTGAAAAGACTGATGAGGTATTACTGTGACCCGTCGTAACCAGACATCAAACTGTGTCCGTGAAACAAGTCGTACTCATATTACTCTCACATCGGATTCAAACCCTCAATTGTACAAGGGCAGGCTTGCCAAAGTAACGCTACTTTTGAATATTATAGAAAACAAATCAGTTTCACTAACTTAAATAGAACATGGGTGTAGAGTCAGGAATGGAAACACACTAAAATCAAAGCAACTGGGCTTCTTGAATGGTTTGTCTTCCGTTAAGTTTCCGTCTTGTTACCAGAGTCAACATATTTATATTTTCAACGGTTTCTTCTTTCTCAGCCCATTCAAATTTTCCAAATATAATTATTTTCTCAGAACATTAGATACGGAAACCAGAAATTAATCTTATTATTATTACTGAAATCGTAATTTAGATTCCATTAAACAAGGATATTGTACTCTTAGTACAGTTAACGTGAATCATGATTGCTTCATTTGTTTCAGGAGCAGTCATTTTAGATTGTAACTATAAACGCTGATACACTCTCGTTTATTTATGATGGTTCTTTCTCTAGTGCCGCTGTCTGACTCTGCACTTCGCAAACAACGGGACATTTTAATGGCTGTCAGGACTCAAAGTTAAATTTGTTGTGATACTTGCTGAGGCTGCTTGTTATCTAAATCCCACATGTAATAAAGGGTCTTGTTAATGTTATGTAACCTCCAAACAATGCAGACCAGTTAGAGATGTTAAGAAAAAAATATATAGAGAACGTAGTGACTAAACTTTCACTTCGTGCTATAAATGGAGAGACTTTAACACTCCAGTTATACTTAAAATTGTGTTTTCACATGAACTCAGAGTATCTGAAACGTAGTATGAGATACTTAAAATAAAAAGAATGTTTATTTTGGGGACGAAAGTTTTTATTTATGTCTGTGGCATTACGAATTCAAAACATGAGCGTCTCGACCTGACAGAAAACTTTTAAATTCGTGGAACTGAGTTCAGGTGTCCTTGTGTTTACTTGCTGTTCGGGTCTTCCCGAGTTGGATCTATTTGGTGTTTTCGAATGACTGCTCATTTTAAGATCACAACAGCACTTTTATTTCAAGTAGGCCTACGTCTAGCCCCTGAGTATTGAATGCACTGTCAAGCTTATCATGATCAGCCTCTAGTATCGTTCTTGGTGTTTTACATTGAAATCGCCACCAGAAAAAATATTGCCTTTGTCATTGTATCAGACTTCGAAATTAATTTCAAGAAAGCCATAGGTTCCTGCTGTAATAATATGTCCCTTTTCGCCCCATCGATTTAAATGTGGTGTCTGGAAGTCTAAAGTGATCTGAAAAGGATTCTTAAATAGTATCCAAAGAACCAATGTGAAGGGAACAGAGTAGAGACTCTGAAATAGTCATATTTTAATACATCAAAATATAGTTTTATCGAAAAGTCACCCATTCCTGACACATGTTCTATTTGTCAAAAGAAGATTTAAATTGAAATCATAAAACGAATAAAATTGTTATGTTAAGTGTTGAAAGTCCAAGATAGGCAGGAGAGTTTGCAATTGAATGGGACACATCAACTATTGGAATATGCTGATGATGTTAATTTATTGGGGGACTATATGAATACAATAAAGGGAAATGCAGAAGTTTTACTAGAGGCTAGTAGACAGGTGGGGCTAGAAATAAATTCAGAAAAAACTAAGTACATGTTAGTATCTCGTCATCAGAAGACAGGCGGGCAAAATTATCTTAGGGTAGCTAATAAGTCCTTTGAAAGGGTTACAAAGTTCAAATATCTGGGAACAACAATAACAAATCAAAATGACACTCATGAGGAAGTTAGGAGGAGATTAAATTCTGGCTACTTCTCAGTTCAAAATATTTTGTCTTCCCGTCTGATTTCTAAGAACCTCAAAGTTAAAATATACAAAACAATAATCTTACCTGTTGTTTTGTATGGGTGTGAAACATGGTCACTCACCCAGAGGGAGGAACACAGATTGCAGGTGTTTGAGAATCGGCTGTTGAGGAGGATATTTGGGGCTAAGAGGGAAGACAATGGGGCGTGGAGAAAACTGCATAATGATGAGCTTAAAAATCTGTACTACTCCCCCAGTATTGTCAGGGTGATTAAGTCGAGAAGAATGAACGACGTTGGTTAATTTGGTGATGAACCTTCGGGTTTGGTTAGCCATCTAGTTAGTTAGTTGGAAATGTCCACTGCGTTCAGCGACACATACATTCACTGTTTTTCTCATGTTTGATGCCACCCGGTGGAAAGTTCCTGTGTCACGGAAACGTTTCGCCAGTGGAGATATTGTCGATTTGCTTGGCAAAGGAGAATCAGGAAACGCCTGCCTAAAGTCATTCTGACAAGTTAAGTGAAACCAAGATGACGCTTAGTGTTCGGTAATTAACACTCGTTGCATTGATGAAAAAGACCTCCTTGTACTTCGGCTTTTGAAAGACAACTGACGGACTGGCGCGAGCAGGTTACAGCATGACATGGCCTGCGTGGTCAAACAGGCATATTTTAATCCAACCCAATTATATTGAATTGCAGTTATCATAATATCACAAACATTGAGTGACTTTTATCGCACTGTATAAGGCCTCCCTTTAGAGTTCATGACACTCTGCTGATCAAAATTGTATTTAGTCTCATGGAACTGAAACCCGCCATTGAACACTATCCGCAACCAATAAACATTCACAGATTTTATACGAAAAGTCCGTTTTAATATTATTCTCACATCTACGCCTGTGTCGCCCGTTTCGTGTTCCCTTGAAGTCTTCTGAAAAATAGTTTGTGCCGTTTCTCACTGTTATACAGTAGGATCTGCGCCTTATCCTGTATTTAATCTTCCCAATAGTATTAGATTAGAGAATACTTATAATAAACACCTTCTCTGTGTGTAATTTGTTTTATTCCTGCGCTTGTATAAAGTAAGCAACACAGATTTATTAGCAAGTATTTGATTCAAAAGATTATGAACGTAAGTGTAGCAAATGGCAATTGTGGATATAAAGAAGAGAAATTGAAACTGTCTCTGCCTGTCCTCTCTTTGTTTGGCCATCGTTTTAAAATCTGCCTTAAGTGTATGAGAATCGACGGAATAAATGAAATTGATAATTTTTCGTCGCTTGACATAGTTGGCGCTTCACTACGTACGTTAAAGCGTTGGTATTCCCTCTATACCGGCATGACAACATCGCAGTCTGCAGTCATTTCACGCAGACTTCTAGCAAAAGCAACTCCATGGATCAGAGACCTTGAGCTATTAATAGACGCTCGGTTGAGGAAGAAATTCCCCGCCCTTTAGTAAGCAGAAATGTCATGACCTTGCTCAAAAATCCGTTACTAGACTGTGTATTGGGGTTTTGTACGAGTTCCTCACCTTTTTACCTGCGTGACAATCCTTTCTCATTTTCCTTTATTTTATTACACTACGTAATAATAGTCCTATTTGGTAAAACGTGCAAACGGAGAAGTTCCTCTTCATGCAAAGTTACACAGCCTTCTATAACTTTCTCGTAAGTACCTTGTTCTCAGACTCAATCTCCGAGCCTCGTACAGTA